AAAAAAATGTTATTTTGCATAGAAGAACTTGGATGTAAGCCAGAGATATAAGGGTGAGAGGATTCACCAGAGACAGAGTGGGGGCAGGACAGATAGACTGACTGCACCATATGTGGGTCAGCTCCCTGGCAGGGGATCAAACTCAGGCTGAAGTGATGATACCGCTGAGACTTAACTCCTAGGTCACCAGGGAGGACCCCAGTTTTTAATGTAGAGTTTGGAAAGAATGTCAGTGACTGCATTTATTGTGGCATCCTTGGGAGATGATGTCTCATTAAAATATTCTGGCCAAGAAAATGCAAACAAGAGTTAATAATTGCTCTGTAAGGTTGGCACTATGAGATGGTGGCAAGAATGTATAGCCAGGCCCTCCCTGGTGGCACAGTGGGTTAAAGCACTGCACTAAGAAGCTTGAGGCCACTTCCGCATGAGTTTGATCCCCGCCTGCCCTGGAGGTGACCACATGGCGTGGCAGACCTCTCCTGGCCCACCCGCTGCTCCTCTCAGCAGTGTACTTCGTCGATCTGCCTGTTCTGCTCCCCAATCTGTCTCTGGTGAAGCCTCTAACCTGCCACATCTCTGGCCTCTACCATAGTTCTGTATGAATGAATAAATCTTAAAAAAAAAAAAAAAAGAATGTATAGCCAACCACTGGGCACCTTTATTTAGATCCAGAGGTATGACTAATTCTCTGTGTGTCTTTGGGCAAATCACTTGACCTCTCTGGGCCTTTCTGCCACATCACATGGTGGTATGGGAGTGAGGCAGGGGTAAGAGTATATCAGGTAAAATACTTTTTCAAATCTCATTGAATTTAGCATTCCAGAACAGTTTTATTTGTTTATTCTTTCATGCGATGTTTCATTATGAATATGTCCTTGATTCTTACCTTACTCTGAAAAAATTTAATTTTGTTTCTGTTCTTAGACTCAAGAATGAAAAGTGGATGAATGTCAAAGTAGGAGACATCATTAAATTAGAAAATAACCAATTTGTTGCCGTGAGTATTTAGTATTTGAATACTTTATTTCAGATGAAAATAGCAAAATTGTTCAAGTACTTAAATTTGTAAATTTAGCAAGTCTATACTAATTCAAGTAATTAAGGAAGGAATATAAGATTGTGCTAGTAGAAAATCTCAGTTATATAAAGTTTTAGAAGATATTCAGCAATTACTTTCAATCACTGGGGAGCTCAGAAATAGCTGAATGCTTATCACCTTTTCCATTTCCTCTGTTATCTTTTAAATTAATATAAAAATACAAACATTAGACTGTCAACAGTTTTTAGAAATTAGAGTTTTTTAAATATGAGAGTACATTAAAATTAGTTTCACTTATTTTGAATACAGTCCTTCAATAATGAGATCAGTACTGTTAATTTGCAATTTGAAGAAAAGATAAGCTAGAGGAAGAGAAAATGTATGCTCATTCCCTAAAAATCCAACCAGAAAATATCTGTTGATTGTTCCAAATTAATAAATTAATAAAATGTTGTTTATAAATCAAATGTCCTCCAATTTACATTCTCAAACTGCCTAAGTTACCGTTTGCTTAATAAAGTCAAGGGTTTCAATAACTAAAATATATGTAACTAACTATAGTTTATATTAAGTGAAGGGTGACAAAAACTCTCTGGATCAGAGATTAAATGTTCAAATTATTGAAGTCTTTATGTCAAATATATATTAGGTTACTTATGAAAATTTTTGTGTGGCGTGCAATTTTTTTTGTATCAAGTTGTGTTCTTCATTAAATTTGAGACATTTTCTCACAGGGGGGAAAAAAGCCTCAGGATCTATTTATGAAAACAAGTCAGTTGAGAGTCTTAAACATTCACTTTCAGAGACAGTCTTTTCTCATTAATGCACCTCCTGTGGCCACTAATTCTCTAGAACGCCACGCTAAGGAGACTACTCAGTGGAGAGACCATTCCTGAAGAGTTCCTTCTTTAAATAGAGAAGTGCTTATTTCTGCGACAACCTCAATTCATTGGAAAACAGCTGAGAAGCACAAATAAAGCAAAAGATATCCTTGCTGCCAAAACCAGAGGTCTCCCGATCCATGAACTGTGACTTGAGCTCCTTATACATAGGACACTCTGCCAGGCTCTTGCAATCTATTTACTTTCCTATTAGACACGATTCAAATTAGCTTGTCCAGTTTATTTTCCAGCTCATTAAAGGTTAGGAGCAGTTTGGTAGGGAGTAGCATCTGTTAGAAGAACATTTAGGAAAAGGAGAGGTAGATGGGTAAGGGCATTGGATAGAAACCTGAGTGAGAGTGCATTCTTTCCATGACAGCCCTCTGTCTTCTCTGCCTGTGGTTTTATATGGCAAATCATGATGCTAGACCATTGTGTGATCTCAAAGATCTCTTCCAGTCATTATGTGCTGTGATTTTCTGTCTGAACTGAGGCTGAATCACAACATTTTTTTTAGTGTTATTTATTATTTTTTGCATTTAAAAATTTATATATATACATATATATATAATGTATACACACACACACACACATATGATTCTTCCTTTTGTGTACTTTTTCATCTCATTTGTAATCCCCATGGGCTTCCTACCACCAATTTACCCGTGTGCCATCATCACAGCCCCAGTGTACTCTTCCCACCCCAGTTCCAATCCTATCCCCCTCCCACTTCCATAAAATGTCTGGTTTATAGTTATTCACTCTTTTCATTTTTACTCTATTACATTTGTTTGTCTCTCTTCTCTTTTCCCCGATCCCTTACACTCCTTTCACTCATAAGTGAAATCATTCAGTATTTTTCTTTTTACTTCTGGCTTATTTCATTAAACATGATCCCTTCCAGCCCCATCCATGTTACTGCAAAAGGCATGAATTTATCTTTTTTTGATTACTGAGTAATATTCCATTGTGTATACATACCACTTCTTTTTAATCCAGTCATCTATTTTTGGGAATTTGGGTTAATTCCAAATCTTCCCTATTGGAAATAGAGCAGCAATAAACATGGGGGGTGCAAGTGTCCTTTTGAAGCAATGTTTTTGTATCCTTTTGGTATATATCTAGGAGTGGGATTGCTGGGTCATATGGAAGCCGCATTTTTAGCAGTTTGAGAAACCACCATACAGCTTTCCATAATGGTTGTATCAGTCTGCATTCTCACCAGCAGTGCAAGAGAGTTCCTCTTTATCCATATCCTTGCCAATATTTGTTGTTGCTCATTGTTTTAATATGGAATCATAACATTCTTAAAGGTGAAGGATACAGTGACTTGATTTAGTTCTAACCCCAAATGCCATGTTGGGTCATAGGAAACAGTAAATGCTAGTTGAGCTTTCTAAGGAGTATGACAGAAAAAGAAAGTAGTGGCAAATTTAAAAAAATCAGGGTGTTTGTGTCAATGGGATATGAATAAGTAAATCGATAAGCCCTAATAAGAAAATAAGATTATATTCAGGACTCTTCACTTTAGAAGAAAGAACACCAAATTTAGAGTAAGTTTACTTTCAATTAAAATGATTGTAATGAGAGAGTTTTTGTCTTAAATTGGCCTGTGAGGAATTTTGAGATGTGTGCATTCAAAAAATTTTTGGCAACTGCTTTATGCCAGGCATAGTACTAGACTATGATGGAATGAGTGTAAATTAAAGTAAGCATTACTTCATTTTGCACATTAGTTTGTCTGGAATTGAATTGTTCAGGGCCAACAGGTACACCAATGCTTTAATTCAGTAAAGACTGTGTTTTAAGAATCCTCTAGATATGTTCTAACAAGGATAAATACTGACAAGATTCACTGTCCTTTAATGTAATGTTTTAGTGTGTTCAGTAATCAAATGTTTCAATGTAATTACCAGAAAAGAAGAGTCAGATTTCTGATTCAATCTCCAAATTCCATAAGAATATGCCACCAACATATCTGTACTCCAGTTTGCCCTCTAATATAGGTATTCAAATTTTTATTTTCCTCAGTCTTCATTTTTAGTTACATTTTCTATTGTGAGCATTTTTTAAGTTGCATGCTTGCTTGTAAAGCCTTCTGAGGAATGAGGCAGAGGCTAATGTAAGTGCAAGTATCAGGTAGAAGAAAACCAGTTCTGTGACTGAGTATTTAGCATTGAAGGCAATTGAATCACACATGGAGACAAGTTCCTATTAAGTCAGTGATGCTGGTATCTCAGCACCTTCCAAAAGAACTTTCTTTAGTGAAGGAAATGTGTATTTGTGCTGTCCACTATGTCAACCATTAGGCCCATTTGCCATTGAAGGCTTGAGATAAAACCAGTGTGATTGAAGGACTGAATTCAAGTTTCAAAATTTGAATTTAGCTAATTTAGATTTTTTTTTTTAAGATTTATTTATTTGTGCATACAGAACTGGGGTACAGGCCAGAGGCTAAGGGGCGGTGAGAAGCTTCACCAGAGACAGAGTGGGGAACAGAACAGGCAGATCTACGAAGTACACTGCTGAGGGGAGCAGCGGGTGGGTCAGGAGAGGTCTGCCGCTCCGTGTGGATCACCCCAGGGGCAGGCGGGTATTGAACTCATGCGGAAGTGGCTTTAGCTTCTCAGTGCTGTGCTTTAACCTGCGGCGCCACCAGGGAGGGCTGCTAATTTAGATTTTAATAGCCACATGCAACGTCTGCTTCTACTGATGGCATAGATGTAGCCTTTGAATTGTGTCTATATAATGGAGTAGGAATGTTTGTTCTCTGTGCTTTCCTACGTCCAAGTCTTTACATTTTCTCCTGGAGGCATGGCCCAAATAACATTCTTAAGAATCCTGCAATCCTTACTTGCTGCCCTCTCCCAGAAGTGACTTGTCTGATTGCTGAGTTTACAGGGAATGACTGGTGAGCAAGATCTCAAACTGCCCTCATTCCCTCTCTCTCTGGGATCTACCTGTTTCTAGAGAGTAAATTCTGCATTACTCGTTGGTGTCATGAGTTTTGTAGGGGCAAATCTTCATGGTGAGGATGGTGGCAATATCCTGGTAGTTTATAGCTTCCAGTGTCTAAGGAGACATGAGCGTTAACAGCAAGCCCCTTTGACCCATGGACCTAAAGTCTATTCTACCACAGATTTACTAGTAACAAAGATGGTGTCTTATCTCCACTCACTGCTGACTTGCAATTGCTAACCTTTATTGAATGTCTTAACAGGCCAGATCATACCATAAGCTCTTCGTATAACTCACTTATTTAATCCTCATATTAGCTTACATGAGAGTAGGCTATACACTACTGCTGTTATTCCATGTTACAGATGATAAAATGAAGCACAGTGCAATCAACTTGCTTGCTAATAGGAGAATGAGGACTTAAACTCAGGCCTTCTTGCTCCAGAGGCCCCCTCACCTGCAGCCCATTGCTACCATATGGGGATCTTGATTCCATTAGAAAAGTTACCTCAATGGCCTTGAACCTGGGCTTCCACAGTTAGGGATTATAGGCGTGGGTGCTAGAAGTGAAGCAAGCAGGGAATGTTGCATACAATTTTTTTTGTTGTTGTTGTTGCATGCAGTTTTGATGTATGACCTCTACCTGTCCACATTTAGAATTTCTAGCTTGATTTATGTGGACTTACTTTAAGCAAGGAAAGGACATCACCTGAGATTGCCAATTAACTCCTATGTTCAAAAGTAACCTTTGCTTTCTAGATACAGAAGTCCTCTGCCCCTCACTTAAAAAAAAAATTCTAAAACAATTTTGTGCTGAATTTTCAGTGCTCCTAGTTTTATTTTCAAACTAGGGGAAAATTCAGAGTATAATTCAGTTGTCACAATGAGATTAATTTACATTAGCAGAAGCAAGTCAAATACTAGGAAAATATATTGAAGAATTCCTGATACTGGCAGCTCCTGGGGAGCCAGGAAACCTTCCTCCTTCATCCAACGGTGCTCTTGTCTTATTTTTTTTCTCACTGATAGGGTGGCAGAAGTAATCCCTTTATTGAATAGGAGTGTGTTGTATTTAAACATTGTATGAATGTAGTTGTTCAGGTATTTGAATAATTGTAT